TTTGAATTTTGTTTGAATATTGTCAATTTGTTAGCAAAGTTCGAAAAAAGTGAAGCAGCCAAATTTCTACCTCATTTATGTGAAACTTTTTTTTTAACTAAACTGATATGATTAAAATTCTTTCTACATAACTTCTAATGTGCTGCACTTTTCACCTTTTTTTACTCTAGGTCAGTGCAGCTTTAGGTGCAGACGTTAATCCTGAAGAAATTACATCATTAGCTGGTATGATAGATATTGGATTACCAAGGGTGACTGATAAATTAGAAGAAATAAGCAATTCGGCAACTAAAGAATTTGCCCTGCAACGTGCGCTGACGAAGATGAAAACCGAATGGAGCGAGGTTTATTTCGAATGCATCATGTACAGGTAGATAATTTAATTTATTTTGATCATTTTTATTTCATTTTTTTTTTTTTCAAATTATGCTCTTATTGAAAAAATTAAAACTCTGACTTTGTTTTTTTAATTTTAAGAATTGGAATACTGTGTACGTAATTGAGAGATTTGAAAACCGTTACAATTTAAAAATATTTCTAAAGCTAAGTTTCTAAATTCTTGTCAACTATCATTCATATTTAAATGGAGTCGTATAAAAAATAATTGATTGCATATCATTCCTTGTTGAGCATTAAGATCTCTGTAACTTGGAGGTGATTGATAATTATCAATCACCCTGGATTGCTAAAAGAACACAATTTTCAATGTTAATTATAATTAGGTGAATGTCTGCCATAACCAGATCGATAAAATTTAATCTAAGAAATGAAAAAACCGCTCAATTTCAAAATCTTAATTATCTGAATATTTTGTATTTTTTAAGTCTATTTTTATACCTACAATTTTACTTGTTATCCTTTCAGGAGAGGTGTAAAAATTATTGTTTAATAATAATGATAATGAAGATACCGCGTCCTAAACTAAACGTAAAGATTATCTATTTTAAATCCATTGACCAAAATAAAATAAATATCAATACATCAAAGTAAAATATCTCATCATGCATTTATTTATAAAAGTTAATAAAACTGCGTGTAGATACGCAATAGTTATATCAATCCATCATCAAAGTACTGTTAAAATACAATATTAAATTAATATCAAAAAATAGATAGATTAATCGATAAAAAGATGTCACAAAAGAAAGTTCTCGTCAATATGTATATCAATACTATTTTTTTTATTATGTGACAAAATTGAGTTCCGTGAGATTCATAAAACTCACTATGATAAATGGCCTAAATGAGTTCTTGGTTTCAATTATGCATTTTAGAAACAAAATTTTAATTATAATAATTAAAATTTTCTAATTCAAGTGTATTTACTCATTACTAGAGATACAAATTGTTCGATTTTATCGAGTTTAGAAGATATTCAAACACAATTGGATGACCATATTTTAAAAGCTCAAGCCATGAGAGGATCACCGTATATAAAAGCTCTAGGTCGCCTGGCTTATGACTGGGAAGAAAAATTAGTTAATATGCAGGACATATTAGACGCTTGGTTATTGGTATGAAATAATTACAATAGTTTCATCTTAAAACCATATCTGTATTACACTAGTTTAAAAGTAATTTATATCACAATGATGATCTACAATTAATATTTTTTATATTATTCAGTGCCAAGCCACATGGATGTATCTAGAATCTATATTCAGTTCGGAAGACATCATGAGACAAATGCCAACGGAGGCCAGAAATTTCAAACAGGTGATTAGTATTTATATGCAATGACCAATTAAATTATATAATGATATCATTTATTTTAATGTTGAAAAACTAGGTTGACAAGAGTTGGAGGGATATAATGGCAGCCACCACTAAAAATCCTCATGTATTAACTGCTACAGACTACCCAAATCTTCTAGAAATTTTAAGAAATAATAATGTAATGCTTGATGGAATACAGAAAGGTCTAAATGATTACCTCGAAAAGAAGAGATTATTTTTCCCAAGGTATACAAATTGTATTAAATTAAGTACTGTTTGATATTACCATGATGCAAATAAAAAATTTCAGAAACATTTTATAGCAGTAAAGTGTTTTGGCAATATAAAAAGTAAATAACTTATAAAAATAATAACCGATATCAAATATTGTTGTTAGATTTTTCTTTTTATCCAATGACGAATTATTGGAAATATTGTCGGAAACAAAAGATCCCACACGTGTGCAGCCTCATCTTAAGAAATGCTTTGAAGGTATCGATAAACTAAATTTCAATGAAGAAATGGAAGTTGAAGCAATGGTTTCTGCTCAAGGAGAAATTATCAAATTAAGTGGAAAAATTATTCCAGCAGATGCTAAGGTAAGATATTTTATTGGCAAATAATAATCAAGCGTTATATATTTATCTCCGTCGGAAGATTTTTTTCTGTTTTATGCAGTCATATCCTTTCAAAGGTTCTTGTTGTTAAAATTTGTGGACCTTCATTTATAGAGTATATAGCATACAACAGAATGGAACTATTAATTAATTATTATTAAATATTGACCACTAAATGAACTTCAATGGTGTTTTTAATATAACTAAACAAATCATCACAATTGAAATATGTACTGTACATATTTTTCCGATGCAATTTATATCAAAGTTACTTGCTTCTTAAAAATACTTAGCTTTTATCAAATTTTAAATAATAAAAATGGATAGTACAAAAGCTCAAAAGTAGCAAGCAAATAGCAGAAATTTATGATAGTGATTGATAATATTATAGTAGATACAAATCTTCTCATATTCGTCTTTACTAACAGTAAATGATAAAATTTTATATTAATGCAGTATTTATATTTTACCCTCACTTAAGGGATTGGTAGAAAAATGGCTTGCCCAAGTCGAAATTCAAATGATAAATTCCCTAAAGGACGTAATGGAGGCTGCGGTATTAGCATACTCACCAGAAGAAAGAGCCGAATGGGTTCTAAAGTGGCCTGGTCAGATCGTACAAGCTGGCGATTGCATTATATGGTCAGCTGAGGTATTTACTTTTCACTTTTTTAGTTTACATCGCAACTGAAATAATATATTATCTAAGAACAACCGATTAATAAGTTACACACTTCACGAAGATTTTAGTGCATGTATTATTTGATAAAATAATAAAAATATTTATCTTATTTTTTACATATCTGTACAGGCAAGTGAAGCTATTGAAAAAAATAGCTTGGTAGAATACGTTGAGCTTTTAGGAACACAAATAGCTGAAATAGTTGTTTTAGTGCAAGGCACCTTAACTCGCAATACTCTAGCCACTGTTGAAGCTTTAATAGTATTGGACGTGCACGGTAAAAATAGTCACATAAATTAAATTGTTTGATTTTTACTTAACTAATAATTTATATATTTTTATCAAGCTCGAGATGTGACTTGCCTTCTCCGTGACTTGCATGTGCAGTTTGTTGGAGATTTTCAATTTTTGGCACAATTCCGTTATTATTGGGATAAAGAAACCAAATTGGTTGAAACCAGAATGGTATCTACAACAGTGATGTACGGTTTTGAATATTTAGGAAATGTTGGCAGATTGGTTGTAACACCTTTAACAGACAGGTGTTTCAGGTAAAATTGAGTACAATAAAATTCTTAAACGACTAGCTCAAGAAACATATGTTTGCATAAATTACAGGACTCTTATGGGTGCTCTGAAATTAAATTTAGGAGGAGCTCCTGAGGGTCCGGCTGGTACTGGCAAAACAGAAACATGCAAAGACTTGGCAAAAGCTGTTGCCAAAAAGTGCGTTGTGTTTAATTGTTCGGATGGGCTTGACTATAAAGCCTTAGGAAAATTCTTCAAAGTAATGTTTACATCATTATCTCACAATTAAAAAAATCTATTTGCAAATCACAATAATAAATAAGACCCAATTCCTTCATTAGGGTTTAGCTCAAGCTGGAGCTTGGGCATGTTTTGATGAATTCAACAGAATTGAACTAGAAGTACTTTCTGTAGTAGCCCAACAAATTTTATGCATTCAACGCGCAATCACAGCTAAGCTGGAAAAATTTGTTTTCGAAGGTACTGAATTGTTCTTGGATCCCACGTGTGCTGTGTTTATCACTATGAATCCAGGGTAAATTAAAATAAGTCGCACCTAAAATTAATGCACAAGAATCCAATTATGTACATATTGTAATATTTTATTTTGATAATGTTAATACTTTATGATCTTAAAAGTATATATTTTGAAAACGAAATTCTATTCCTACAGAGCCGTGTAAATAGATTTCAAGCTTTCATTATAATCGAAAGATATAAAATAGTTTTTAATATAAAATTTACAAACATCAATGCACAAATCATCAAGATAATAAGAATCCTATTGGCAAAAAAATTAAAGCGATCTGAACGATAAATGAAACCACACAATATATTTTTTAATATTATTATATTGCATTCGCATTGTTCTGTTAGAACCAAATTATAACTTTCAATTTGTTTTGAAGTTGAAATGTTTTCTTCACTGTGGAAAAATGTGCTATAGGTGTAACAATAGTATTCCTAACCCAATCAAGATTAATTCAAATGTTTTTGATTATTCAGTTATGCGGGTCGTCAAGAACTACCAGATAATTTAAAAGTACTTTTCCGGACAGTGGCTATGATGGTGCCTGATTATGCAATGATTGGCGAAATAACATTATACTCTAATGGTTTTGTTCAAGCTCATAGGTTCGTAATTAATTTTACGCTAAATGAAATGAATTAGTTATTTTAGCATCGACAGCTTTGTCTCGTTTCATAGATAAAGCATTTGTTTTGTTTCATACACTGCACAATAACGAATCTTTCACTTAAAACTGGTTAATACCAAATTAGCCTTATTGTTGTCATATTGTTATTTTTAGCCTATTTGTCTATCTAGTTTATCTTATGTTTAATGCATAAGTAATAGATCATATCTTTATCATTATTGATAACAAATTGTTTCACTGCAATATAAAGCTTAGCTCAAAAAATCGTCGCAACCTATAAACTTTGCTCCGAGCAACTTTCATCTCAAAATCACTATGACTACGGAATGAGAGCCGTGAAATCAGTGCTTCTAGCATCTGGTGCTTTGAGACGTGCTTATCCTCACATACCAGAAGCCAAACTTGTGTTAAGAGCTATTGTGGATGTAAATTTACCTAAATTTTTGGCTCAGGATATATCTTTGTTCGAAGGAATTTATTCAGATTTGTTCCCTGGTGTTGAGCTACCTCAGGTATAATCTTTCAAGCAAAATTCATTTCATTTCCAAAATCGTTACTTATAATTTAACGTATAACTATTTCAGCCTGAACGCGAAGATTTGATAAGAACATTAGGTACTGTTTGCGAAGCTCGTAATTTACAAAATACATTTTGGTATGCAGAGAAAATGTTACAGGTAAGAAAGACTGGTAACAATTTTTCTCACACTTTAATTGATAAATTATAAACGTTCTTTATCACCATCTTCTAAACAAAATCTTTTTTTTGTATGCTCAAAAGCTTAATTATGTAAAATAAAAATCATGAATCAAATTCAGAACAAATACAGTAAATTTATTGATAAAAAAATCAACTTTCTAAAGAAACAGTTCTAATTCAAATCACATTTTAATAATATTTTTAACTATTTTTGTAAGAATTATTATAAAATTGTGACTATTATAAAAAAATTTATTTAGCTGTATGAGATGATTTTGGTGCGTCATGGTTTGATGATTGTGGGCGATCCTTTAGGAGGAAAAACGTGTGCTTACCAAAATTTAGCTTTGGCTTTGAAAGAAATTCAATTGCTTGAAGCAAAGAGTAAAATGAAGGAATTTCAAACAATTTTTAGGTACCAAACTAATATTTTTTTAAAGTAATGGAAAGAAAATTTAATATTTTTATTTAAACAGAATAATAAACCCAAAAGCAATTACTATGGGCCAACTGTATGGTTGTTTTGACCCAGTGTCTCATGAATGGACAGATGGAGTACTAGCAAATACTTTTCGTGAATTTGCTAACTCAACTTCTACAGAGAGAAAATGGATTTTATTTGATGGGCCCGTCGATGCTGTGTGGATTGAAAATATGAATACGGTGTTAGATGACAATAAAAAATTATGTCTTATGTCCGGAGAAATTATTCAAATGAGCGGTAAAATGAATTTGATTTTTGAGCCAGCTGATCTCGAACAAGCTTCTCCAGCCACTGTTTCGAGGTGAGTAATTTAAATAAATTACTTTATTATTTACTAAAAAATATCAAACCAATGTTTAAAATATAATATAATTTTTATGTTCATTATACAGATGCGGCATGATTTTTATGGAGCCTAAAATGTTGGGATGGGTTCCGTTAAAAGACTCATTCAATAATATTTTAGCGAAGAAATTAATACCAGAACAGTTCGAAATTTCAGATGAAATCATGAATTGGCTAATACCTGCCTGTCTTAGTTTTGTTGCAAAATGTAAAACTTTTGTTCAAACTTCACCTATGCATCTATTTGTTGTAAGTAAACGTGAAATTGAACGTTTTAAAATATAAATTATTAAAAAATATGAAGTCCACAAAATTGTTTCAAAAAAATATTTGTATTTTTAAAGTCAAAGACCATTTTTCATTGTAGTATATTTTGAAAAATTTGTAAATTGAACGTATAGTATTATATTAATCTATACAATACTTAATAATACTTAAGAATCACCTGAAGTTATCAAAAGTATTTAAGTTATATACTATTCACCAAAATAATAGCATTGAGAGAATATTAATTGTAGTGTTATTAGCAGAACCCTAACAAAGCAAATTTAATATATCTAATATAATAATAATAATATAATAATAATATAATATAATATAATATTTTCTATAATAATAATTTTATATTCTATTCAAAATAATAAATACGATCACAATCACTTTAATTTTTAGTCCTTCACGAGACTCTACAGTTGTTTATTAGAAGATGAATCTCAAGTTGCCACAGTTTGGTTACAATGTGCTATACTCTTTAGTACAGTGTGGGGTATTGGAAGTACATTAACAGGTGATTTTAGTAATTATATATATATATATCGTAATCTAATTGTTTACTGATTGTTTATATATAATTTAATTACAGCTGATAGCAGAGTCTTGTTCGATGACTTCTTTCGACGTCTATTAGCGAATCAAATTGAAAAATATCCTAGATGTGATTTGTTCAAATTGGCAAAAAATCAATTATTTCCAGATCGGGATATAGTATTTTCATTCCAGTTGACTAAATCAGGGCAATGGGCACCTTGGCTAGAAGGAGCATCGCCGGCTCTACCTCCAAATGCAAGAGTAAGTTATTTCAACTTATGACTGTATATATACACACACATTTTTATGTGCTTTATGGAAAATCTATTATATTTGTATAATTAGACTACCATATATCTAGTCACTACAGCATAACTTAACGAAGTTGTGATTGGATTAAACTGAACCAAACTCAGATAGCACCAAGAAAGGACTCGGTGCGATCAAGAATTTGATTTGCTCTAATTTTGCTCTCTTTTATATAAAATTTCAGTTCTTTTGAACTAAAAAGATTCTCGAATGATCTTAATGAGCCTGTAAAAGATTTTAAAAAAAGTCCAAGGTGGTTAGAAGGAGTTGAATTACTAACACGTACACAAGAAACATATCAATATTTCTAATATATTATATATTAAATATCAAATTATTTATATTTGAATATATAAATCAAGTTAAAGTGTCTTTATTCGACGCTGCAAGATATTATAACACATCGAAAAATCAGTTCATTAAAACGTCCAGAGACTATTTTCATTATATCACTAGCTGTACCCGTTCACGCTTTGCCGTGATTTAGTATTAAAAAGTTAAACAAATGCATATGTGTATTTGTTACATTTAGTTTAACGTTACTACTGTCTAATCAACAATTTACCTATTCAACAATTTATCTACGAATTTACCTATAAACTTGTTAATCAATCTATCATTTTACCGACTTACGAATTTACCTTTCAACCTATTTACCTATCAACCCGTTTCACATGTCTACCAATTTTCCTGTCAACCTGTTTATTCGTCTTGTTATTTGTCTACCTACCAGATTTCCTGTCTACCATTTTACATATTCTCAAGCTATCCAACAAATTACCTTTTCACCAATTTACTTGTCTACCAATTCACCTGTCTATCAATTTACCTGTCTACCAATTTACATATCGACCTGTTTATCCGTACACCATTTTAACTGTCAACCAATTTACCTGCTTTCCAATTTACCTGTCATCCCGTTCTAAATGTCTACCAATTAACCTGTTCAATAATTTACCTGTTGAACAATTAACCTGTTTAACAATTTGTCTACTAATGTACCTATCAACCTGTTTATCAATCTACCATTTCACCGGCCTACAAATTTATCTCACATCCTGTTCTACATATCTACCAATTAAGCTGTCAACCTGTTTATTTATCTACATATTCGTCTATCTACCAGTTCTTCTCTCTACCATTTTACATATCCTCCAATTTACCTGTCCACCAGTTTACCTTTATAAATTCTCTAATTCACCTTATTTATTTACGCTTTATGAACAAATTAAAGCTCAAATTGATTCCACGTTTTAGTTAGAAAACGTTTGTATGTGAAAAAAAAGGCTGTTTTTAGGGTTTTCCCGGCAATTATTCGATTTTGTCTCGCTGTAAGAACCATCCTTGGACTTCAACGAACATTTAAAAAAAAAAATTGGCCAAATTAGTCCAAGCGTTGTTGAGTTATGCGCTTACCAACACATTTTGCTATCCATTTTTATATATAAGAAGATAGAATAGATATTGTGATAGACTTTAAGCACATATGAAATATATTTTTATATATATACTTGGCGTATCCAATTTACAAACTAGCTGTAAGTGGAATTCTGTCTTAAGGCAATTAGGGCATCGTGCCTTAAGGCAAATTGCTGGAACTTCCCGTACCAAAAATTATTATTTTTTTTAAAAACGATTAACATTTTTGAAAAAAAATTGCTTCGAAAAAATAAGATTTTTGAGAAACTATAAATTTGACAAAAAATTACTTTTTTTTGAAAAAAAAAAATTGAAAAAAAAAATATTAAAATTTTTTTTTTTTTAAATCTTTTTTTGAAAAAAAAAAATGTTTTCTTTATTTTGACATATGTTGGAAGATCTGAACTTTTTTTCAAAGCCATCGTACTGCTTTAGCTGCATAGAGACAAAATATAAAGCGCGGAAGCGCCGCGTCGCTGTCTAACGGATAAACATTGGTACACAACCCATAGGAATGGAAACAAAATTTATACTTATTGTTAAAATCTCTATAAATTATCTGATAATTTGATGTGCATATGTCTAATGATCATTTTTGACCGCCAAATGGCATTTTTTTTTACTTTTTTCGTTATATCTCCGAAACCGCTAAACCTGCCCTTATAAAAATCAAATCTTCATCTTGTCAATACAAGTAAAATGTTTTTTGAATTATTAAAATCGGACGTTCCGTTCTATTAAAAACTGAGGTACCGTTTTTGGCACTTTTTGCCCCATATCTTCGGAATGACTGGACCTACCTCCGCGAAAAACTAATCAGCACGTCTCCTTATCAATACGGATCGAATGTTTTTTAAATTATTCAAATTGCTTCATCCGTGTTCCCGAAATCGTCGACGAAAATTTGTATCCGCACACACATACATACTACGCACACACACACACACACACACATACATCCATTTTTTTTAAGGTATGCCAAAATATTCAGAAACCTCTGAAACGTGAAGATATATAAAAATTTTCATTTTTTTCGATTCCTATAACTTACCCTACGGGAAGTTAATTAATAGAGTTCGACTGAATTTTGGTGTTTTGTCCTATAATTATTTTATTTCAAAATTGGTATTTTATAGATATCTGCAGAAAAACCAGTCGTAAATCTATTTTTCGTCTATTTTAAGTTTGTAGTATTAATTTTCACCAACTTTCTAGAACATTTTATTTTCAATTATATTGTTAATTATTAATCATAGGTGTCAGAACTCATGGTAATGACCAGCGAGTCTGTCTGCACGCGGTACTTCGTGAATATGATGCTGGCCAGTAAAATACCAATGGTCATTTGTGGTCCTACCGGTACTGGAAAAAGTGCGGTTGTTCAAGATATGCTGCTTAGTTTGCCAAAAGAAAAGTTTTTACCGAATGTTATTAATTTCTCAGCACGGACTACAGCACAAGCCGTAAGATATAATATAATTAGCCTGTATAATTAAAACTGTTATATTTAAAAACTATCGAACTTTAAATGCTCAATTAAAAAATGTTATGTTTAAGCTTCATTGTGATTCGAAATAAACTGACGAAATATTCTTACGCAAAAAATGGTTCATATTTTTGTATCTGTTTTTTAATGTTTCGCCTAATGAAAGCAGTTGTTACATATGGTATTATCAAATAGCATTTATCCAAAATTTCAGACTCAAGAATTAGTTATGTCAAAATTAGACAGGCGTCGCAGAGGTGTTTTCGGGCCCACATTAGGAAAGCAAGTAAATAGTTTTTGTAAACATAATATTTTGAATTCAATATCAGTTTAATATAAATAACCTAATAATCCTTAAATTTAAGTTTTGAAACTAAATTAAATTTCAATTCTTCTTCGGTTAGTGCGTATTGTTCGTGGATGACTTAGGAATGCCAATGCGTGAGATTTATGGTGCCCAACCACCTTTGGAATTATTGAGAACGTTATTAGATCATGGTCATTGGTCTGACCTTCATGATACTACAAGGATTGACTTAGTTGATATCGTAAGACTAACTATTTATAAATCTCTTCATTCCACAATAAAAATCCATATTATTTCATTCCAATAGTTATTTGTATCCGCGATGGGTGTACCTGGAGGTAGCAATTATGTTGATGGTCGACTACTGAGACATCTACATATTGTTACAGTGGATTCCTTTGAAGATGCGACTTTAAATAGGATTTTTGTTGCTATTATGGATTGGCACTTTGCAAAAGGATTTCTGGAAGCTGTGACTAGACTATCGAAAGTAAGTCTTGTGGTGTATGTAAAGAAATTTATTTATTTATTTATTTATTTATTTATTTAAATATATAGCCCACAGATTTCTCCAAGAGGACTCAAAAATACAATTATTTGACATAATGAATAACAATTAAAATATACACAAAATTACAATATATAGTTAGTAACATAAAATGCTAAGATAAAATTTCATATAATGCAGAATGTAACAATAATATTTATAAACAGAAAATAATAAGATATTTGAAAGAAAATAAAAAGATTAACTTGTGCAGATGGAGATTATTTATGCGCATAAGAGAACACGAATGAATAAGAGAAAAGAGTAAACATTATTTTCTTAAACTAATGTTTTTGATATTAAATAGATAAATTAAATGCGGTGTTCTCAAACATTATTACTATTATATATCTTTAAAACACAATTTTCACAATCTTTTGGTATTATTTCATTGTAGTTTCTGGTTTCTGCTACTACTGAAGTTTATCGTGCAGCAATGGCAAATTTTTTGCCAACTCCTGCTAAATGCCACTATACGTTTTCACTTAGAGATTTTGCTAGAGTAGTTAAGGGAGTTTTATTAGTACCTGCTTCAAGGATGCAAGATCCCGATAAACTGATTAGGCTATGGGTGCATGAAACTTACCGTGTATTTTATGACAGGTAAGCCCAAAATCAAAATTTTATATAAGTCCGATCAAAACTCAAGTGTCGTATAAGCTGTTGTAATCTAACTAACCCAAACAGTGGTCCCAACTAATCTTATCAAAATATTGCTTCCTGCTAAAAATGCTTACTGAAAATTAAAGTCTAAAATTTAAATGAAAGTCAATATATGAGATGAAATCAGATGAATCAAATTTTTGAATTTGTAGTAAATTTTTCCCGAATTTGATAAGAATTCTCTCAGTTTATTTAGCTGAATTTTCTACCTATAATAATTTTCCCCAGGTTAATTGATGAACCAGATAGAGCTGCTATGTTCAAAATTGTGAAAAATGCAACCTATTCTCATTCAGACAACATCTGGATAAAGTAGCTGCACATTTATTAGGTGAAGATGAAGTAGAAGTAGAAGACAGGCATCTCAGAGATTTGCTTTTTGGAAATTACATGTATCCAGACCAAGATCCAAAAATTTATGACGAAGTAGGTTAACTTAATATAAAAATAAATTTATGGATATAAATCAGAGGGACAAAGAATCCCAACTCACTATTTAATTAGCAAATTTAAGTGATTTGTTTTTTTATAAATTTAAATTTTTAATTTAAAAAGTTTACAAAATATTCGAAATATGATACATTATTTACTGCGTCTCGATAAATAACGTACTTCATTACTTTAAATCTACCGTTTCAAAAAATTATTGGTTTGTGTTTATTACTTCTTTTTACAAAATGATCAAATGTAGGTGATTTTTCTTAATATAAATATTTGGTTATGACAGGTCCAAGACTTGGATGATATGTACGATAAAATGGTGTATTATCTCGGGGAGTATAATGCATTGTCCAGCGCTCCTATGAATTTAGTACTATTCAGATTTGCAATGGAACACGTATCTAGAGTTTCTAGAGTTTTACAAGTGCCCCAAGGACATGCCCTCATGGTGGGAATTGGTGGCAGTGGCAGAAAAAGTGCGGTTAAATTGGCTGCTAGCATTGCCGAATGCACTCTGTTTCAGGTCTGTTCAAGTAAGTAAAATATTTTTTTTAAATATTAGTAATTATGGTTAATGCTTTTTTAATAGATTGAAATCTCACGTAACTATGGTATACCTGAGTGGAGAGATGACATGAAAAAGTTGATTATGAAAGCAGGAAATGAAGGAAAACCTATTGTATTTTTATTCAATGATATGCAGGTATATAACAATTGATTGTTTTATTCAATATTTTCCGTAGATTTGATTTTGATGCAAGTACTAAGAGTTATAAAACCATTTATTCATTTGATTCTTAGATAAAAAATGAAATGTTTATAGAAGATATAAATGCATTACTAAATACAGCAGATCTACCTAATTTATTCCAATCTGAAGAAAAAGCTGAAATTTTGGAGAAAATGCAAGTAGCAGCTAGAGCGGCGGTATGTATATAGTAGACAATTTATTGAAGTTGTATCAGCTATCAATTTGCTCTAAACTAAAAAAAAATGTTGCTATTGAATATGTTCTATATATTTTATTATCTATTATTGATCTATACAGGGTCGACAAATTGAAACAACGCCCTTGGCATTATATGCATTTTTCATTGAAAGGGTTAGAAATGCTCTTCATGTATTATTAGCCCTGTCTCCAATAGGAAATGCTTTTCGAATTCGCATAAGAATGTTTCCGTCATTGGTCAATTGTTGTACCATAGATTGGTAAGATCACCACTAAGATGAAAATATTTACTTAAAATTAATTTTTTATTGAATTGCAAATTAGGTTTAAAGATTGGCCAAAAGACGCTTTGGAAAGAGTTGCTTTAAACTTTATTGCACCGATGGATCTTGGGGAACACGTAACAGATGCTTGTGTGAATATGTGTCAATTGTTTCATTTGAGTATGGCGGAGGCTAGTACGCAGTAAGTATATTAAATTGTAAAAAAAAATCTTTTCCAAAAGAACATTTATATCGGTTTAGCATGCACACCAAAACATGGCAGATATCCATGCATACATAGTACATACATACATACAAAAGGAATGTGGAAAATATGATCAGTTCTTGAATCGTGTAGATATTAACAAAATGGAAAATTATTTTATTTATTTGTAATTAAATTCATAAAGAAGTGACAATTTTAATCATTTTTATTACAGAATGTTTGAAGAACTACATAGAAAAACTTATATAACCCCAACTTCTTACTTGGAATTAATCAAAGCATTTCAAGGTCTTTATGGAGCTAAAGTTGCAGAAATAGTTGAAGGAAGAGATAGGTAATAGCGATATTATATATTAATTGATATGGGCAATTAATCCATATTAATTGTCTCAATTATAAAAAATATCTTCCATTCATTAGGTATATTAATGGGTTGGCTAAGTTAGACTTTGCAGCAGGTCAGGTTGGTTTAATGCAAGACGAATTGCATGCTCTGCAACCGCAGCTAGTAGAAACTTCTGATAAAACAGAGAAATTGATGGTTAAAATCGAACAGGACACTGTCATTGTTGAAAAACAAAAAGAGGTATTGTAGTATATAACAATAATATCTAAACCGTAACTTATCAAATAACTTAACATTTTAAATCTTAAGATTGTTGGCGCAGACGAAGCTCTTGCAAACGAAGCAGCAGCTGCTGCTCAAGCTATAAAGGACGATTGCGAATCTGATCTTCAAGAAGCAATACCAGCTCTTAACGCAGCTTTGGAAGCACTTGATACTCTTAAACCTGCTGATATAACAGTGGTTAAATCCATGAAAAATCCTCCAGCAGGTGTTAAACTTGTTATGGAAGCCATTTGTGTAATGAAGGGAGTCAAACCTGAGAAAAAGCCAGAACCAGGTGCCATTATAAATATTTTTTTTAAATATCTGTATGTAACATTTTTCTTTGTTGTGAAGAAAATTCTATAAATCGTTTCGAATAGGTACTGGTAAAATGATTGAGGATTATTGGGGACCATCACTAAAAATTTTGAGTGATATGAAATTTTTAGAAAGTTTGAAAACTTTTAATAAAGACAATATACCCGAAGCGACAATGAAGCGCATCAGACAAAAGTAAGTACATTATTATATTTAAATTCAATCGTGAATACATTAATTCTATCGTCGTAAACAATCAAGATTCATTCCCGATCGAGATTTTGAACCTGATGTGATAAAGAATATTTCTACCGCTTGTGAAGGATTGTGCAAATGGGTGCGAGCTATGGATGTCTATGATCGTGTTATTAAAATTGTAGCACCAAAAAAGGTGAATAGAAAACATCATGGGTCCTTTCATTGAAAAATAGTAGCCATTTTTCGCATAACAACTTTTTTTTTTGTTATATACAGGCCGCACTGGCTGAGGCAGAAGCTTTGCTGGCTGCGCAAATGGAAGTGTTAACTCAAAAAAGGGCACAATTACAAACTGTAATGGATAAATTGCAAGCTTTGAATGACGAATTTGCAGAGTTTTCCAAGAAGAAAAAAGAATTAGAAGATCAAATTGACATATGCGAAAAGAAATTGGACAGGTTTTTAAATTATTAAATTATTCTTGTTAAATATTAATAATATTGGTTTCCGTAATACATACTGTTGCATTTATCCGTTAAAACATAGCATTCACATTAAAATTATAATTATATCATTTATGTGGAAAAGTATGTGAATATGAGGAGTATATTATCAAATCTAAACAATAGCTGATCTAAAATAACAATTTCAGAGCTGAAAAGTTAATTGGTGGCTTAGGGGGCGAAAAAGCGAGATGGAGTAATACAGCAGACACACTAAATAGCTCTCTTGGAAATATAGTTGGAGATGTTTTACTAGCTGCAGGTGCTGTGGCCTACTTTGGACCTTTCCCTGTTAATACAAGATCGAGATTGGTTAGGATGTGGAATGATAAATGTTTAAATCTTCGTAAGTTATTGATGAAAATGTTATTGATATTTCGAATGAAATATTACGCATAATTTTGCCGTTATAAATTTATAATATATGGGTTGCCTCTTCTTCAGAAACTCTGAATATTGAAACCAATTTCTTCTATTCAACTCTCACCAAAAAACAAATTGCACCTTCACCAATGAAAAAGTCGTGTTATTCTATAATATAAAACATAATTCTATCTCATAAATCTGAGAATGATTGGATCTTGAGGATTAATTAGATTCATATTATTTTTTCTAATTAGGGATTCCCTGCTCTGAAATCTTTACATTATGGAATACCTTAGGCGAAGCAGCTGCTGCTAGAGCCTGGGGATTAGCAGGTCTACCTGTTGATGCATTTTCTATAGACAACGGAATAATTGTTACTCACGCTAAAAGATGGCCTTTGATGATTGATCCACAAGGTATTGAGATGCGATTCAAATTAGATTCAATTTCAAATTAGATCATGCCATATCAAAAATTTGGAGAAAGATAATTGAAATCCAACAATTGTGCATGATACTGTCTAGCTTGTGACTTATCATATTATGTTTAATTTTAACACTTTGTTGACCGGTCACAAGTTAACTCGTGTTCTTATGGCCGAATGTTGCTGATCAAATCACGAATAAACTCGTAACTCGCTTTTTGTCGCACCGCTGTTGTTTTCTCAATTGGCGACCGTACAATGCAGTTGCCAAAGCGGGTCCCAAATCTTTTGGTGTAATATAGAAATAGCCGGTAACAAAGTGTTAATATTGGGTTGGGGAAAAGAAATCCATTATTTTTACGTGAACTTCAAGATTTTATTTAACATGTTTTGCTTTGTCCGATTTAGGTCAAATATTCACCATTTTGTTCTATAATTTGTTGCCATTTTAATGGTAGCTTCATTATGCCTCTCTCATAAAAGTCTTGTTGCTTGTTAGCGAAAAACTCCAGCAATTGATTTTCACACTCTTCCCTTGATGCCAATTTCTTATCACTAAAAAAGTTTTGCAATGCAAGAAGCTACCATTAAAATGGCAACAAATTATAGAACAAAATGGTGCATATTTGACCTAAATCGGACAATGCAAAACATGTTAAATAAAGTCTTGAAGTTCACGTAAAAATAATGGATTTCTTTTTCCCCAACCCAATATGTTTTGCAAGCTAGTTAATTTATCTCATTCTAAAGTTTTCTATATTGTCACGAATCCCTTTTTATTTATTGTGAAACCCTTTTATTTATTATTTATTACCCTTGATTCATGCCCTAATTTACTATGGTTGTTACATTCGCGGTCTTTCTACACCCTTACCGTGACGTCGCGATCCTGTAAGAAACTGATTACTTTAAAACTACTAATGAAAAGGCGTTTGTTCGTTACTTAATTAACAAACCTATATTTAAACATAACAATCCCTTAATCTAAAACATTTCTTATTCTAACATGCAACTTATTCTAGACTTATCTTTAACCACGGCGCAACCAGTGTCCATCACATGTCCATACATCGGGCCCGATTCACATAAATCACTTAACCATCACCTTTAGGTATTTTCACTAAGTCTACTTTCTGTTTGGGGACAGTCTCCGAACGCTGTCCCCCCATGATGTCCTCTAATCTCACATTCAATACATTTATTAACACTTTCGTGCGCTGGACCGCACGTTTGTCGACACTGAGGCCACGCCGGCAACTCTCAACCCCGACAACGACTACCTCAAGACTACGACTATTTCTAGACTACTAAAAATGCAGACAACTCTCAGCCCTCGACACACTCCTCATCAGGGACATGGTGTTTTTATGCATATAGGGAGAGGGGTAGTTGTGTGTTATTTTATAACTGTGTGTGGGTGCTTCCCCACACATTCGTAACACTACCCCACCTCCTCTAAAGATCGCCCTCGATCTTTCAAAGCGCCATCCCTGGTGCCGCACCAGCTTTCTTGGCTCCGGATAACTTAGGTGGCGCACTCCAATGTCTGCCTGCTCCCCGGATGACACGTCGATGGCGCATTCCAACTTGTCTGATCTGCTGTTTGCTCTCCTCCCGTAGGCTGACTTTTGCTCAATCCGGCATGTCATCTGCATAGGCGTCGACCCCCTAGCACCCTGATACACAATTCGGGTCGCGATGTTTCAGTAATGTAGTTGTACACGCGTTCAATTTTTTCTTGCACTGTTACACAAAATTACTTCACAACAGATTTCAACCAAAAGTAAGATTACATTAACAGTTTAGTGTATTTGTCCAAAAAGTGTCATAACAAACAAAAAAAAACATCACTTAGTCCACTTTACTTATTCACTGTTTGTTAAAACTTTGATCTAACCTTATTGCTTTTATTACTACCTACATAAACTACATTCAAATATAATAACAAAATCGATCAAAGTTAATTGAACATATCAAATTTAATGAGAAAAAAAAAAATATTCGAACTTATCAAGTATTAAAAATTATCAAACATTATAAAAGTAAATAACATAAAAACACTCAGAAAATGAACATAAACTTATCTACACTTAGCACTTACTTCTATAAAATTTAAAAAATAACACTATCTCATAATATTTTTATCAACAGCTTTTTAATCTATTCTAACAATAGATTCTAAAACTTAAAATAATGACATTATAACTACAACAAATTTACATTTAACATAAACATTTGGCTTGAGTAAAACATAAACGCATTTGTTTCTTTATCAACCTAAACCTAGTTACATACTTATTAACGACAATGTTTACTTAACAATGTAAAAACACAAAACACACAAACAAAAGAAAAGCATTGCAAGAGTAAGACTAAGAGCGAGAATAAGAACAATAAAAGTCAAATTGAACATAAGTAATTAAAATACTCTACATATTATTTTAAAATTCGGGAATTGCTGACTGTTTTGAATTTGGCGGTCCCATCTCTATTAACGTACAACGCAAACATAAACGTAATTTACTTTTACCCTAGTCTAACTATTTCTATTACTATTAAACCGTGTACAGCAAGTGCGCTTCTCAATATAAAAACAAGAAGTGAGTCGTCGGAATGCTTGTTTCCCCGGTGTTCCTAGGCTCCAAACGGTGCTAGATGCCCATAGCACCTTGCCTATCCAATAAAAGACCTGAAGCAGCATCGCGCCCGCTTATAATTTCAGAAGGAAATTACCATCAGCAATAAAAACCAAACAACACACAACGTCGCGCGACGCTTACTGATGGCGGAAGCTTTTGAGCAGGCATCGGGAGCGGATATCTGCTCAAAAACTTCACATTAGCGGCAGTACAATGTGGTAAAAAGTACCGGCTCTAGCGTGAAATCCACAAAATTTCACTAAAATACATATATCATAATCAACAACCAAAGCTTCCAAATGGATAGCGTGATAGCAATCAGCTTGTATGTGATGTATCACGCTTCAACGGTCTCACTCAGAGCACCAGAACCCTCGCTGGGGGTGCTCCCACAGCCCAAATCCATATCCCCATGCTGTGAGATCAAAATCAAATCCATAATCAATAATCCATAACAACAACAAAACACCAGCCCGGGCGATCTTTCCCCAAAACCGTAAAACCCCAAATTTTCCCAAAAATCGCAAAACCCAATTCTATCCTCAATTTACTTTTTCTAAACACCCCGAGTATAATCCACATACATTATATCAAACACAAAACAACAATCAACTAAAATTTACATTTACTCAAATCTTGCATTAAAATCTAAAACATTTTCATTTAAAACGAGGGAAAAATCAAAATACACTTATCTCTTATACTTAGCTGGCCAGCTGACATTCATAAAAATATGCATACTCACACACAATTTCTCAATTCCCGACTGAACTAAACAACCACTTTCACAACCAAATCAAAATATTCATCTATTCATGTTAATAATCATCTATTAACCCCCAATTTTCTCTTTTCGCGTCGTATTCCTTCATACGCGAATTATTTCCTTTATTTCCTTGAATCCCTCACAAGGACATCTTTTTTTTTTCTCAACATCTTTTTCCCCAATATCATTTTATCCCAACATTATTCTCAACGGTTATAAAGTATCGCCCAGTGCTCTCTGAGTGATGGAAAAGAAACACCAAAGTACAAACCAACGTCTCTACACTTGCTGTTAAACCGCCCTATTCTATCTCTATCTTCTAATTATTCATAACATTCTTTACCCAAAATCCTATTCGTAATTTTCTTCTCATTTTTTTTTTCATTTTAAGCGTACTCCTTTTATGACACTATTATCTAAAATCTAAATTATTAAACGGATCAAATTTCTATTTATAAAACTGCATTTACCTATCTCTATCAACCAAATATTCTTAATATAATTCGTCTGATCGCACCTGCATTGCAAAAACCAATTTATAAATGTTATTTTTTCCTAAGATTAATTTACTTAAACGAAGAGAAACTGGTGTAATAAATAGAATATTAAAGAAACAATAACAAAATAAAATCATACGCATTGTTATTTAATATCTGCAAACCGACACGACCAAATATTTTAAATTTTAACAAATTATCAAATTATTCAAAAGTACTTAATCTATGAGCTATTATGTAACTTGCCCTTTTTTCCACTTTATTTTGTAATCCATCTTGCTCATACAATTTGCTACCTATGCATTTACTGCCTTCTTTTTGACCTATATATTCTTACTATTCTTAACTCTATTCTATATTATTACTATTCTTAACTCTATTATATTGGGGTGTACATTAATTGTATAAAGGAGAAAAAAAAACAAACAGTCTATAAATAAGTAATTACTTTTATATAATAAATCTCGTGAAAAACAAAGAAGCAACAGGAGTAATAAATAACAATTATATCAAAACTAATCTTACAGTTATTATAAAACGTTTGTAAACCGAATCGAGCATTGAACAAAAAAAAAAAAACAATTAGTATACAATCTAACTATTTGATCTATGTGTTAGTTATACGGTAACTCGCCATTATTGTTTTTCATCTACTTTCTCCTACTTTTGCCTATCTTTTTCGTAAATCCTAGCGACTTATGCATTCTTCCTTTTCGCTTATTAGGCTTTTTGCATTTCTTATACCTCCCTCTAGTCCTACTTGCATTTCTATTTGTCCCTTTGTCGCATTGCATTCGTCTTCCCTTACGTGTTGTACACGCCCCTTTTGTCGAATAATAGTTCCGTCTCACATGGACCGGACGCGCTCGCAAATTTATCTAACTAAGTATTACTACGTATCTATTAATTATCTCCTATTTTGCGATTATGATCTTACTGAATTATTATTATCCTTAATCCTTTATTCCTATCTATCTTATCTATATTTGACTAAACATGTGACTGCCGTCTTGTTGCGCTAATGGAATAATTGCAAAATAACATAACCGGTTGAATGAAAGGGACGAGAAACCTATGATTTTTTAACTGAAGACAATAAAATTTATTCGACGTTTCCTTTATCCATCTTTTCTACCGCGAAAACTAAATATCAATCATTAAGTACTAAACACAAACAATTCAAAATAATTCAAAAAAAATTAATAATAAAAACAGCATCAAAGTATTTTTTAACAGTAACAACCATAAAAAAAACTATCAAATATAAAAATTAAATTTCTAATCCCATTTCACTATTGGCAGTATGAGCCGTATCGACCTTGATGTCAGTGGGCTCGACTGATTACAATTAGATCGGGGTGACTAAGTCCGCTCTAATTGAAAATCACCAAAGACATCCTGATCAATTCAAATGCCTATCGAAAATCGGTGTCACCAAGAGCTTTCGCACTGAATTATATACAAGCTATCCAGGCGGTGGTGATCGACCTAACAAAAATTTGCCACAATTCAAATCCCTGTAAGCCGTTGTTTTCGACGCATTCCCAAACAAATATTCGGCACCTCATATGCACGGAGGCGAATAACTCCGCAATTCTCAAAACTGCTCTAAATTTTGAGATAAAACAAATCATAATAAAAATACTCTAACGCAATAGCGCAAACAAAACTAAACTGAAAAAGAAATTCGCTCGTATTTTACAAACAGCCACATGTATTCGAAAATGATTGTAAATCCCTGACTCAACAAAAAATATATACACATATATATATATACAAAGACATCTTCCCTAATTTTAAAATTTTTTTACACTACACTTAAAGCTATCTACGCAACTCAAAAATCTAGTACTTAAACCAAGAAAAAAAAAGCTTTTAGCCTGGCGTTGACATATAGGGTCCATAGATCGCAACACGAGAACGATGTCTGGACATTTCGAACTCACATATACTAGCCACCCGCGTTGTGGCGCCTTAAAAACGTAGGGATGAAATGTTTACACAAAAAAAAGAGACATAAATATTATCTTGCTGCGTTACTTAAATGTCTATGATTTGAAATCGAATTCTAAGAGAAAAGGACTTCAACGATATCTTACCCTTGCAATATGATATTTTAAAATAACTTTCTTTAAAATATTTACGACTATATATAAAAAAAAAAAAAAACTCTACTCACAAGAACGATTTCCATGAAACAACACTTAACTGTATAACATAACTTAATGTATCTGGCAATCATCATAAATTTTATAAAAAAAAAAAAAAACAAATTATTTTATGTATTGGTGTTTATGAAAATGATTATGAATAACACAATACACTAAACAATTTCAATAATGTTTAGTAATAAACAAAAATTCTAAATCTGTATAGAACAATATTTTTCTATACACTAATTATAATAATTTCGATTTAAAATTATATTCTAATAATCTTAATTTAAAATGATGGTAATTATAATTAACATAGGAAACACGTATCTAATAGTACACGAACAAAAGCCTTTCCCAAAAAATCGAAATAAAACAAACCGCGCGACTGAACAAAAAGAAACATAACGAACAAAAATACAAATACAATAAATAGATTCAGCATTTCAAAATTATTATAAAAAACCTTAAATTTTACAAATTAAATAGATTTTCAAAATCCACAAATCAAAATTCTAACAATACTTTACTTGAACTACTTGATTATTCGTTTTTGCGCCAACCAATTTCGCAAATACGTTTACATTAACCCCAACATACATAGAAAACCCCTTTGATCACACAACAACATTTCAATTTATATATCCGCTAAACATTATTTCAAATTGCACCTGTTTTCATAATTTTAAGTTCCAAACATCTTCTGTACACTCAACTATGCTAACAAGAGTTCAACAAATTTCATAAATATCAATTTAATAATAACGCGTAATCAAGAAATGCCGAATCTTCGCGAAAAAAAAACAAATCGAAACCCGAAAATTGATCAATAACAAAATAACAAAAAAAAATAAAACGAGGAAACTGTAAACTTACACGCAAGGAAATATACCGCGAATGAACCAACAATAAAATTGTTTTACCGAGATCGTAATAATGCCGTCGATGGTGGATCAAATGATTACCAAACAAATTAATACTTTTTAATCATTTGATCGTTAAAACCAACGAAAAGCATGCCCGGCGGCCTCCACCATTTGTTACGGATTCCTTTTATTTGTACGAATTCCTTTTTTAATTTTTTCATTTATAATCCTCATTTTATTGTTAGTCAGTTAAACTCACTGTTACCTTTTATCGAGTACTGCTTGAAAGGTTATTTAAATTTACAATACAAGTAATGAGAGGCGTTTGTTCGTAACTTAACTAAACAATATTCTATATTTATATATTTACATACTTATTCCCTACACTTGATCAATCTGAACTCTACA